CGGTGCCTGAGTTGGCAATTGTGAGCGTTTCTTTGGCGTTACAGGGGGGGCTAAGGGACAAGGGACAAGCGTCATGAAAAAGTATTTTAAATCAATGCCTGACTTACCTTTTGGGGTGGTCTTCACTGTTCCCTTCGGACGCTTGCTATTTGAGCGCGCTCCCTTCTTGGGTTTTTCAGTACCCCGGTTCACAGTGTCGGAAAGAACACCTTCTGGGGGCTCATTTATCTGAGTGGGATGATCAGGAAGAGAAGTTCCCGCAGGGGGGACGAGATAAGCCTCTCTGACGAGTCTCAAAGCATCCGTAATGACGCGTTGAACCGCAGCTGTCGTCTCAGATGACTGAGAGGCGCGATGAGTTACGAGGGCTGACCAAAGGTTTGTTGCTGCGATCAGAGTTGGACACAATGGGGATAACTCAACATCTTGGGTCTCTTTGAGATCGCTGCGGAGCTGCAGGGAGTCTGTGGGTTCGGTTGGGTCACGAAGCAAGAGGAACCGAATCTCTCGAATAAGCTTGAGGGCAGGTTCCTGTTCATCGTCAATGTAGCATTGCTCCAACTGCCGCAGCAACGTTCTGCAGTGAATGGGGTGAGCATAATAATCAACAGATAACCCACAAAACTCACCGAGCTCGCCGAATTGGGAAGCGATCGGCAGCATAGAAGATGACAATGTCTGCCAGAAGTGACTTCATGGCGCCTCGACCTTCAGCCGTCTTTGCACCAGGTGCCGAAGACAGATAGAAAAATTGCCGTTCTACCAAGGAGGCTACCCCGCTGATTTCTGCATCGCCGTCTTCCAGATCGGAGAATACGTGTCGCACACTAACGCGGTTCACGTCCAGCAAATCAAACGTGCTTGTGTGTGTGTACCGCTCAAGGAGTGCAAATAGGCCACTAAAAGCTTGATCCTGGGCAGGTGGAGCAAATATCGCACTGGTATTACTTTTCCTACCGAGGTCTGCGATGGATGATTGCAGAGTCAAGAGACCTTTAGCAAACGCGGAGCGTGCGGCCTTGGGGGAAACACATCAGCGTTGGAACAGCCTAAGAATTAGAGGCCATACCTTGTGATCGCCTGAGCGAGCTTCGCAACAGCCTAAGAGCTCCCAGCGCTTCGGTAGCTGCTCCGTGAGAGCTTGTACGATCCCATCAGGGACGTCCCTTTCCTTTGAAACCAAAAGGATGGCCTGGCTGATGTGACAGGCGCACTGAACGTACGGAATCGCGGCCGCAATCTGATCCTGACGGTATAGAGAAGAGCCGAACACCCAGTGGGCAAGAGCAATTGAGCGCAAGACGTCGACACTCGAAATCGCGTCTTGCTCGCTAAATTGTTGACCTGGCGACTTCATAGCTACCTCAGCACGCTCAAGAAACGAAAAGGTTTCCCGGGTTGGTAGCCCACCAGCATTTGTTGACGCAGATGACCGCGCCAAGAGCAGCAGTGATTGAGCACATGCGATCCGAATAGACGCTTTCGACTGCGCCGAGTCGCGGAGGAAATGGGATATAACTGCATCAAGGAGTTTGGTGACCGCTATGGTATGTGTAGACCGCGCAGTGAACGAGATCGATTCCACACTCTCGTCAGGATTAGCAACAGTGGTGAGTGCCGCATTAATGATCCGAGTACAGAGCTGCCGGATTCGCTCCACATCTCTGTCAACTTTCTCGCGTATTGATGCTCCTAATGATGGCTGTTGGCAAAACTTGGTACAATCCTCCACGGAAAGCACAGCCAGTCGAAGAGGTGTAAAATCAACTAGACTCGAAGTTAGTAGTTTGGACAACTGCGAGGAGAGAAACGCACTTGTTGGATCTTCCACTAGACCCTCCAATACAGCGGTGCATTCGACGAGGTTGGCGCACAACTTCGTCGCTTGAATGTCAGGGTCTACTTGGCTTGCTGGGTCGGCTTCAGATGAATGAGAAGATTCATCCAGTAGCCGCTTGATGCGCTTGACATCAGCCGCATTTTTGGTCTGTGCGAGATAGTACGGTCAGACTTATTACTAATCAAGAACTGCTGGGGTTCCCTCACTGCACGAGCAAACTTCAATCGGTATTCGCATATACCAGTAAAGCCCCTCCCACGCATGAATTTCGTTCGGTCCTGCCTCTGTTGAACAAGCTCGAAAAGCTCATCGAGGAGATCGATCACAGATTGCCATGCATCATGACCACAAGCCTTGACGAACGAAACACAGTATTTCCCGCCTTGATCCCAGAACGCGTCTTCCTTGATGGATGAGCTCCGAATAAGACATCGGAGGCCCCATGCACGTAAACGAAATTGGAGGGAAGGCTCGTCGAAGTGAGACTTTGCCACAGCTTGGAATGATGCCGTCAAAAGTGCAGAGTATTGTTGCACGGGCAGTGACTCTGATAGCCATAGGTGCCATGAGAGTATGTTATAGCTATTAAGGAAGAGCTAAAAGCAGGATAAATCAAAATGGTTCTACCGATCTAGAGGTAGATTAGACTTACCTCAAGGTCTGCGGATGAAGGTTCGTGAAGCAAAGCTTGAAGAGAGTGCAGCAAAAAGGTGCCGATGGCAGCGCAGATCGATTCTTCAAGGATTGTATGTTCTTTGGGAAGTCCTGGAGTCCACCATGACTCTTCATCTTCCACGGCGCGTGTAGTGTACAGGGCTTGAAGGGGGGATCGAGCTTGGTGAAGAAGCGACCTGGCTTCCGCGAACTAGAATAGTAGTGCATGTGAATAATGCAGGGGCTATATGAGATATGCTAGACACGACTTACTAGCTCAAGTGAAACGAGTCGTCCACACATATGGATCACCGTCCGCTCAACATCTACAGGACGAGCAGCTGGGGAAGCCCGAAGCAGAGCGATATACGGGCCTGTTGTCGCCACAGATTGTCGTAGCGTCTTGGCATCAAATGCTTTTGACGGAGCGGAGACTTTCCAGCCTAATTGGACAGCATCGGACAAAGTTTGAGAAACGTCCCTCAAGCCTTTCAGGGCCTGGGGGGCATCGATTGTGAGAGGAGGGGTGGTGGGAGGTGTGGGAGGTAGCTTCGATGATTTTGAACCGATTTGAAGCTTGCCTCCTAGTTCAGTTGTCAGAGCATCTACAGAGGGTTCGCCCGCCGCATCGTGCCTTCCGCCGCGTGAACGAGAGGATTTCCCAGTCTTATCGTGGGATGTCCCAGCGTCTATGGACATTCCTGCCAGCAGTTCGGTTGCTTCATTGACACTAGTTGAAGACGCCGTCTTCTTAGTGGTTGCTGGCTTGGCGCGTCGGGTTGGGGCAGGAGGTTGAGTCTCAGAGTTTGTTTGACGCGTCGATTTCGCAGTAGATGCAGCAGTAGAGCGCGTTCGTGATGTCGTAGCAGCACTTTTGGTAGTGCGAGTGCCGGAAGACGCGGTTACCGGCATAGTGCACGGTCGTCGTTGTTGTTTTTGTTGTGTTGTTACAAACAATCGTCCCTAACTCCAAACACCTTGGCACGCCCTTGTTCCGCGACAGACCCGCGGCTTTGAGGTAGCGAGGTGTAGACTGAGATTGTGGCAGGGAGCTTGGCCAGCCATGATCACAAATCCATCCAATACTTGGCAAAGTGCCTTCGGGAGAACAGCTCCGGCAGATTTGCCACGGTCTTGATACTGTCATTAACCCAAATACTTTGCACCCAGTGATCCCACCCCGTGCCAGTTCCCTTATGTGCCTTTTAAATATATATCTCCTCTATCACATTCTACAAGGTTGCTGTAGAATTGTAACGTGGAAGACAAAAAAGAGCTCTATTCTGGCTCGAGAGTCGTAACCTGACCAGCTGGACATCACCCCTTCATTCTTATTGATCGCAGACTGAGGTACCACCAGCGTCCTATATTCATTCTCTCGGGGACGTCAGTGCAGTGTGAAATTGTGAATCCAGTGCCATTATCGTAGGCTATGATAATCAATATGTAGTCAGTTCTAACCGTAGTGTATTGGTCAGTGGCGCAAGTAAGACTCAAAAACTCTAACCTATAGGTAACGGGGCGCTCAAGACGTGCTATTTAAAATAGAGGCTGGAAGTTCCTGTCCATGTACTACCCTAACATAAACCCATTCCTCAAAGATTGGAAACGGCTGAACATGGCAAGAGCCTGTATGCTCAACGCGGAATAGGGCCGGGCTAAATCTGATGAGAGACAGGTACTTGGTAAATAAGTTATGTATGTTCGTCATGCAACAATCGAGGTAGAGGACGCTCATTCTTCATCTAAGAGTGGCACTTGCCATATTTGGACAGGTTCGCAGCATATCGCGGATATCTTATTTTCTAGATGGGATATTTAAATTGGCTTGCGCCCAGCTGTGCCGAAACTTTTGGATCTCTACCATCCTTTGAATCTTTCTAGAAAGCAATAGTGTGAAGGGCGAGTTCCAAAAACACTGCTCGTGCTGGCCGTGGGAATTATGCGCGAGTGTTCAGCAGAATTTGTGGCATTCGTCCATCAGCTACCCTCCGATCGATCCCTTCTATTCTAATAAGATCAAAATGCAATCTCCTTAGAATGTGTACGAACCGATTTTTCATTTGGAGCTGGTACCTACAATTTCTGGCCATGTCTGTCCAAGTTAGTAATGCTGTCATGCGTGACAAAGATAGGATGAGCGTCCCCTAGCTTGGCAAAATGTTCTGACGATAGAGAGGGTCTGTCCTATTAAAATTAGTAAACTTACCTGAGATCGAATCGGTTCGGGAGCATAATTGAATGGTTACCATTTCAGTTCACAAGTCTCATCTCGGGTCACACATTGTCCGATGTCACTCTACCCTGGGCCGTTGAAGTCGGTAACCTGCAAACTTTTGCAACTTTGCTCGGAAACACATGTAATTCTGCGAAGATAGTACCAAGATACTGTCTCTCAAATCTGTATATTCTTCAGGTTCATATCTGCAACTATGATGGTGTAATGACGGTGTTTCAACATTTTGAGAGCTTGATAGACACTGCTTGCATGTCATTGTCAAGAAGTGGCCTAATGGTCTAGTAGTATGATACTCGCTTTGGGAAACCAACCTGCGAGTGGTCCTGGGTTCAATTCCCAGTTGGGCCCTATTTTTGCGGTTTTTTTCTCGTGTTTACAGCCTTCTGGCTGTGCAGGAGGCAATTCAGGATGCTTCGCGCGTGGGCAAACAGAGGCTGTGCCCCTGATGTCAACACCGCATGAAAGCATGCTAGGATCATTGTTTCTAGATATCTTTTGGGCAAGCAGAGCATGAGGGATCGAATCAATCAATTAAGTGCACGATGTATGCGCTGATCGTGACGACCTGTCACTGAGGCATTTGCATCCACGTGCGTGACGCGGCCGAGTCTACTGATTTGACATATGGGCTCACACTGTCCAAAATACGGATGGAAAAGATCCTGGGACATGGCTGTGAGACTCTGGGTAGCTTTCGGACTGGGTTGTGGCCCTGGTAGCTCGATCCTGCATGCCAGCACTTAGGCAGGGCGAGTCAATGGACATTTCTTACGCGACACCTAGTATGTCATAGTGAGCGAGACAGATAAGCTCACCAGCTCAGTGAGCTCATGATGCTCCAAGTAAGGAGCGATCCAATTCCCCCTTAATATCCGGGTGGCGAACGGCGCCAGTGCTCAGCCCGGAATACTCATACCGTTCAATATTGCGGACTACCTATACTACTATCTATAATTGTGGAGTCTGCGAGATAGCGCTTCAATCCACTTCGCTGCAAGTTCAACAAGCCTGGTCGGCGTATACAAACTATTGGAAGTGCACGGTCAAGTATAGCCCGACCGGATCCACGCGACGACGATTCAAGACTCTACCAGTATTTACACGAGAGAGCCAAGCCAGAAGAGTCAATTGGTGCATGGAGAAACAATCTGGGACATCGCACTGGGGCTCTGGGGTGGGTCAGAGAATAATTTATAGCTCTTACAGCTAAGGAACAGGTGCAGTTGCCGAGCCCAACATTACTGAGTCCTTTTTACTAAAATGCTGCCAACAAATGACCCACCGTATTATCATATACCACTGGGAACAACGGTGTGCACCCAGTCTTCCCAATTATATGTTATGGTGAAAGCGAGGCTTTACGGATCTTAGGGGAGTAGAGTCCTTGAACGGATGATTTGGCCAACCAATGAATGAGATATGACTCTTTGGCTCATAGCTAGTACATTGCATGGGTATCAATGAAGCATACTCCAGCATTTTGAGTCAAAGAAGGCGTTGGCATGCCACGATCGTAAGGATGAACACAATATGTAGGGGCGAACGGCCTTCTCAGGGCGTTTCAAAAGCAAGACTCCATCGCAAACGACCAGCTATTCCGTCGGTATTATTGTCTGACACCGTCACTACATGTACCTGGAGACATATTTCGAGCAAGAGAAGTGAGCGCAGAGAGCAACATAGGATCAATTCTGGCCCGGGCTCACCACTTCGTAATATGCGTGTACAATCTATAACCACTCCAGGCAACTTGTAACGCGCAGACCACAACTATTATCACGCGCGCACGAGGCGTATCCAGTACAGCAGGCCAAGCTCCAGGCGGCGGCGGTGAGGCCTCAGCTGACTCGGAGTGTGGTGGATTGACGGCAGTGGTTGGGCCGCTTTCAACATCAACGAGTTTCTTGTCTTCATAAACAATCTTCACCCCTTTCTCATCATACTCCACCAGCTGTTCAGCCGTGAGATGGTCTCGAGTATCAGCCATTGGGGTTGGGGGACGTGGACCACAAGCGCAAACAAACCACCTCATCCATTTATATCCTCATACTAAGTCATTCAGTACACTGTATTGATACACCGCATGGCGCCAGAGCGCCTAAATTCCCTGAGCTAAGGGAAATGAGCACTGGATTGTATCATCGGCTGAAGGCAGGAGGCATCTCAGGATCACTATCACCATCTGGCAAACAAGGAAGCACTTGGTTCATGATAAGGCTCAGAACAGTCAGAAATAGAAACCCATTCGGTCCAAATGCTCATGCTAGCAGTGGGCTTTCGTTGGAAGCCTGTCGAATCAAATAGAAGCTGCAGTTGGCACAGTGCCAGTGAGTTCGGGCCGTGCGTCACCACCTGAGCTTATTGGTGGCTCTGACGTCGAGATTGGTCCATAATGCTTCCGAGCTTCGCAGAAGATACTCCAGCACCCATTGGGAAGATAACTGCTATTTGTAGATACAAACTGAATGCACACCACTGCACCCGATTTCCATTCCCCGAAAATTCGAGGAAGCAAGGGGCACATCTGAGCCAATGGGATTATTGCTAGCCCTAACATCGATATCTGGAGAACACTGAATAATATTAACAGTATCATAACACCCTTATTATCCAGGGAGGACAAAAAAGAACGCGCCCATAAGGTAACGGGCTCGACAAAATAATACCCAAGACGAAGAAAATACATTCAAATCAGCAATGCTTGCCACGACCCCAGAAGCTATTTGGTAGGAATATCAGATGGAAATATTTGGTCCTTAGAGTCTCGGGTACGTACTTCTGACCTCCATGGGGCATCTCATTTCGCGAATTTCGCTCAGCCGTCCAGATGCAGTGATCTTGAGCAAATATGGGCGTTAGTCGAGCGTCTGGGCGTATTGTAAGTTCGATTGCTTCCACCCACCAAACAAGACTGTATTGCCCTTCACATAGGAGTGCGTATGATCCCAGGGTTTGGTGACCTTGCAAGGGTCACCCGGATGCATAGTGGTGATTGTGGAAGCGTGTGAGGTAGTAGCAGTGGTGGTTGCCGTCGCGGTCGTCGTTGTGGCTACACACGACCCCATGCAGCTCTTGACGTTGTCGAACTGCGAGCCAGGGTACGAGAGGTGATTGGGGGTCTGGTCAAGATGCCCGAATACCCCGGTGGCGGCTCCAACAAGCGAGTTGGCGCCAACATAGTCCGAGCTAAGATCCCAATACATCGTACCAGCGAGATCCCGAGCTTGGACATATCGGGCCTTCTCGCGGACAATATCAGGCGTATCATACGAGATGAGTTCTTTCTTTGCGGAGTCTACAAAATGATATGAGCGGGGAACGTTGGTGACGAATAGGATCGCTTACCGTATGAGTAGCTGGCACCAGTGGCGAGATCGTTGGTGACCTTAGCCCCGGCGAACGGAAGAACTTTCACGTCCCAAACGCCATCAGCCCAGCTGCCGGAGCCGACTCCGCTGAAAGGTTTCTGAATTCCTGCTGTGTTCTCGAATGCCCGTCCATACAAGGGAATGCTGGAAATCGCTCTCATGGATTAAACCCCTCCCTCAAGCTTTGGCAGAGGATTTGAGGAACATACCCAATATTCATTTTCTCACAACTGGCACCATGCTCCAGATACCACCTGAGGGTCGAGTCGGTATCAACACCCTCCTTGGTGTGACCACGATATAGATTAGCTTGATCATCAGAAACATTTGACCAGGGTCCAGCGTAATCATATGCCATGAGATTCCAGAAAGTGAGAAGGTGATCAAGGCTCTTGACGCTAAAGTTGACGTAATTGGCAGCTCCAGCAGGGACAGCCGCAGTCAGCTGGTAAGGAACGTGGTCGCCTGATAGTGAGGTGTTTTGGTGAGGTGTTTATGGTCCAATCGGGGGATCCATAGACGTACCTTTGGAGTGTGCGTGAGCATCAAGGCCGGCGCGGAGTTCGGCCATGAGGGAGACAAAATCGGCCTTTTGAGCAGCAGTGGGGTACTCAAAGTCGACGTCAAGGCTAGGATGATACTTGTCAATTCCGAGCGCAGTGAGCGGTAGCGGGGACATACCCATCAAGCCCGTTGTCTTCCAGCAGCTGGATTGCGGAAGACACGAAAGTGGCTCGTGCAGTTGGGTTGGAAATGAAGTTGAAATGCCCTATTACACATCTGAGATCATAACATCAAGATCAGAGGAGGACTACTCGTACCATCTTGAGAATATGTGAACCCTCCAATGCTCAATAGAACCTTGAGGTTACGTTGGGCCTGCTTCATTAGGTACAGCTGTTTGAAACTGCAAAAGATATTATTTGATCATCAACATATGATAAGTTAGTCGTGCACTCACTTTCCATAAAGGTTGTTTCCAGGCTCGGACCAAGAGTCGCCAGCATCTATGAGGAGGGGGAGTGAGCAAGTACGTGATGGTGAGCGCTAAATACAGGTACTAACAGTGAATCTGCTGGTCAGCCCACAAATCTGTGAGCATGACTTGGCCGGTGGTCGCATCACAGTCAGCAAAAGCATAGAGAATGTGGGTCAACGTCTTCGGGACGATACTTGACGGAGCTTCAAGAGTATATCAACAGTGTCTCAGTCTCGTGCTTCCAGCGAGGGGTAGCCTGGGCTTACGGAAACTGCGACCGTAGATAGCTATTGGATCAAGGTTGGTTGCCAGGGTTCGTGTCAGGTGATATTTCGTAAGAGAGCTGAAGCAAACTCGCCATAATTTGGGTAATAGCCCACAGAGTTGTAGGTCTTAGAGTGAGGTCCACGTTGGGCCAGGTGGTCGTGATGTCGGCGTCGCGTGTTGTCGCGTCCATGCGTGGCGGAGGCTGTGAGTGCAAGGAAGAAGCACACGAGCAACGCCAGGGCGGGGTGGAGGAGCCGAGGCACCATCAGACAGAGAGATTACAAAGGAAAGTGTGTGCGTTGTGCTGGAAAGACAGAAAGTGTACAGAAGGAGTGTCGAAGTGAGGGATACGTCGGTGGATGGCAGAAGCAGGAAATGCGGGGGGCTTCCAGGAAGAAAAAGGCGCCAAGCCATTTCGAAATCAAGGTACCGGAGGTGGGCAAGCAGGGAAGTATATTCCAATTCATATTTGCAAACAGGAGTGACGAGCCGGGGACTCGTATCCTGTACCAGCAGAGGGCGTTTGTGTTGGGAAAACAATCGTTCTACGACACCATCGGCGAAGCCAACTGCGATTCTGAGAACACTGAAGGTGAGCTGCCAGACTCCCTACCTCTCCACAAAACTTGGCGAAATCACGTGCTCTGACAGCTTCTCTCTCACGCTCAAGTCCCAATGCTGTCAGCAGTCAACAATCAGCTCAGAAGAAGCCAGCTGCTGAATCGGAACAATTA